TTAATCTATTTAAAGATCAAAAAATTTTAAATTATGTAAAATTTAAAAATTTATTAAATAAATATTTCTTATGTTACTTGTAAATTTAATTTAAAATAGTAAGATAAAACGGAGTAGGTGAATTCATTTTACTATTTTTATTTAGAGTATAACTTGGGAAGAAAGAAAGAAGGTACGGGTGAATCCATTTTACCATTTAGAATATAACTTGGAGAAGAAAGGAAGAAGGTATTTACATGCTCGAGAAAACTTTATATATATACATTAATATTATTTTGAATTTTTATTTGTTCTTCATTAATTTTTTATTGTATTAAGTTAAGTGACCAATAAAATTGATTTAATTTTTATCAACTCGAGACTTAACGTAAATTAATTAATTTTTAAAAATTTAACTTTGTTTAATTTTATTAATTGACTTAATTAAAATTTTAAATGAGTTGACTCAAACGCGAAACTATTTTAAATAAATATGTGTAAATAATATTTTCTTTCTATTAACTTCTAAAGTTAAGAAAAACCTTAACAAATGAAAATTGAAAATGTCAGCAACAAGGCTTTTTCTTTCAACCAAAGCATTGATGATGATAAAAACAATCACCCTTATGACAACATTTCCTCAAGAAGAGTTTAAAGACAAAAATTAGATCCAACTTGGCTAAGAGCACTTCAATTACATAAAATTATTTAACATTTAAAAGGAAAACACAAGTTTTTATTTCCAACCTAATTATTTGAAGTTGTAAGTGAATAGTCTTTTGATGTTGTCATTATAAGGAAGTGTACTTCTAAAATCATTGATGTTAAACCAAAAGGTAAGTGTTAATAGGAAGATTTATTATTAAAAAAAAATTGTTAATTTGTGATAGTTAAATTTTAAGATTAACAACAATTTTAATTGTCTCTAAATTTTATTTTAGCGATTATGAAATTAACATTAAAATTAGTGACACAAAGTCAAATTTGTGGTGGTTTTGAATTGCTGTTAAATTTTTAAATTTGCAACAGTTATCTAGTAGTGGTTTGGAACCGCCACTAAAATTTGAAATTCAAAAATCAGACTGCGTGGCAAGTAATAATGCTCTATTTTAAAGTTTAGCTCTACACTTTTCTCCGGTCTTTATCTTCTACTTATTCCTTTCTTTTACTCTTTGAGTTCATATTCTTCTTTTTTTTTTAACATCACAACATATATGTTATATAATTTATAGTTTAGAGTTGTTGAAGGAGAGCTATTTTTGAAGGAAGTGAAAAGGATAATAGAAAATTATTAGATTGTCATAATTGGAGAAGACATTTTAACCGTAGTGGCAGTGACAATGGTGGTAATAGCAAAGAGAAAAGTAGTGGTGAAACTCAATGAGGCCAAGGTGGAGGTGGAAGTGAAAAGGAGACTTTAAGTAGGTGATGGAGATGAGTGGGGGTTGTGTGATGTTTTTTATATTTTGTTATTGCAAACTGACACTAAATTTTGTATTTTTTTATGACGGTTATGTAAAACTGCCGCTAAATCTTACATTTTTTGCGACAATTACAAAAAATCGCCGCTAAATTTTACAATTTTATGATAGTTGCAAAAAATTATCACTAAATTTTGTATTTTTTGTGATAGTTATTAAAATTACCGTTAAATGTTATTTTTTATGTATTTTTACTGGCAATTATTGCTAACTACAGCTAATGAACTTACTCTAAATGATGCATTTCTTATAACGTAGCTTAAAATACCAATAAATTGTGTAATGTAAGAGCTTTGAAAATTGAAGGCTCAAGAGTGCTCAATCAGATTTAAACTTGAAAATGAAGTTTTATGAAAAGGAATTTTGAATTAGCATTGTCGCCATGAGCTAGGCAAAGTATGGGAGACATGGGATCATGGTACTAAGAAGTAACATTGCCATGCAAGAATGGTTTAGAAATGGTGGAACATAAACAGAACTCTTGGATTCCAATCCTTTGTAGTTGTTTTCCAAATTGTGTGAATCCCGGTCCTTAGGATATTAAATTATTTTATAAACAAAGCATAAACATTTTTGTGGTGTTAACAGAACATATCGGATCCAAATTGCATCAAGTGCAATCCATTTTTCAACTCTAAAAGAAACACATCAACTGTTTAAAAAAGTTACATGCTAAAATTTCAATTACTCATATTTTTCTATTGACTTAAAATTGTGAACTCCCAAAAAAATTTATCAGTCTTAATCTTAAAAGTAAAACTATTTTTTTATTCTAATATTACTATTCAATAAAAAACAAAAAAATAAGAACTTAAAATAATTAGGAAAAAATTTTAAGATAAATTTTTCAAATTAATATATTATATTTATGCTGATATATTATTTTATATCTTTAACTCAAAAATATTAAATTAAAATAATTATTTTAAAATAAAAAATTATCCATTTCCATTTTTTTCCTCCAAAAACAAAAAGCAAATTGGGCGGTCGCAAGAGAGAAGCATGGGAGCAGTGTGATGAAGTGGCCCCACCCAAAATGATTGGAGGTGGTCCACCTATACGTTGTTTTATTTCCGCTTCCTACCAATGATGAAGTTCCACGTGTCTGGTTATTCCCGCCGCCAGCATCCCTACGAGGATGTCTACCCGACACGTGCCAGACTATGAAACGTCTCATTACCTCGGAATAGTGTCCATCTGCGTGACATTGTCACTGTCTCTCCCTCAATTCCAACTTTACCCCTCCCTGTCCTTTTCTCTTCCACGCTTATTTCCCTCAACACCATGAGGTTCATATTGTCAACTTATTTACCAATTTTCCCAATTCTTACACTCACTCACCCATCAATCACCAATCCCTTCAAAAACCCTCATTTCTGGCCAGAAAGATAGGAATTACGAAAGGAAGTTTCAAGAGAAAAGAGGGTATTTTTTTAAAGAAGGAAAAAGAAACTTCTTTTATGCCACCCCTCTTTTCTTAGAAGCCGTTGTGTCATCACTGCTCTAAAACAATGACCATCAAGAAAAATCTCTTCTGGGTCTTAAACCTTGTGATCCTCACTTTTGTGATTTTATTACCCTTTGTTCAATCCTCTAAGAGTTCAAGTGAGTTCAACAAAAATCACTCTTAAATATTTTCGTGCTTGTTTGTTAGTAATTGGTTGTAATAAAACCATTGCTTGATATATATATTATGCAGATCGTTTGTATCAACCAAAAATGGCAGGAAGCAAGCTCATAGCAACAAAAATCGAGGTAGTATGTACATAAACGGATACATGTTAAAAGCAGAAGAGGAAAAAAATAGTTTTTTTTTTATTGGTTATTCATTAACTTTTCATACTCTCATTTTATTTGCAGGTTGGAAGATTTGGGAACGAAGCTGCTAATGCTGGCATAGTAGAAGACTCGGCAAGAGAAGTGCCAACAGGACCTGACCCTCTTCACCACCACCACCACCCTATAGACCCTTGAGTTACCTTCCTTAAAGGCTAAGTCTAGCTTCTTGCTTTAACGGTGGATCCTCATTGGTTCTACTGATTTTGTTCCCTTGCTGCTTCACATTTTCATATGGTTCATCATATCATGTATTCAGTGCTTACCATTTTGTAGTTTACCAGCTATATCTTCTGCATTATGCTTACTAATTTTGTAACATTTGGGATATATTAGTTTTTTAAAAATATATATAGTTTGCAATTCATTTTCGTTTTCCATTCTGTTCATCCTTTATTATATTGTGGAAAACATGAAAGAAAACAATGAAACTACTGTTTCCATGTCTGGATTTATGTTTGAAGCAAATGAATACATGTTATATTTTAACGTTATTAACTATACATTTTGTGTTAAATTTTTAATCTACATTCATAATTTTTCAATCTTGCTTTTTTATTTTCTTGGATATTGTTTGGACTGAAATATTACGGAGAGTGGTGTTGGTAGCCTCATTGGTCGTTGCTTTTTACCCTTCTCAAAGATCATCCAAAGAAGACAAGGCAACATATAGTGAATTTATCCATTTGTTGCCATTTACAGGAAGTAGTGGAATGAAAACACCTGCAAATTGGTACATTTTTCAGAGTTGCGGTTCCTTTCTCTCTTTTTTTCCCGCTTATAATATTTCAAGTTCATCCATTAATTAGTCCTGCTTAATTTAGTTACCCCACGAATATTGATGAGAAATCAGAAATTAAAGATGTTGAACCAATTCTTGTTGATATAAAATAAACGCCGAGTTCTCTTTGATATTCCTTTTCTATTTACATCGATTTTGGTTATCATAAATTAAAATTACATGTTGAAATTTTATAAACAATATTTAACTTCATTCAGCTGGAGGATTGCACTAAACATACCTGGAATCAGGGTATAAGGTTAATAATTGCACTTTCACATTCACTTTAAGCGTTATACCCATAAAATATTCACAAATTTTTTGCAAAATAGAGACATTATAAAAAAGTAATATGCACAAAGAGTAAGATATTATTATTTGAGGCTTTCATCCATCCAACACAACTCAAATATCGTTGGTTTAAGGCCCCAAAAATATCTTTGTAAGCAATTTAATATTGTACAGTAACCTACATAATAAAATCATGAATAGCGATCTAATAATCTTTATAATGAAACTTATTTGGCTAGAATCACTACCCTAATGCCTAATAATTTTAATTGAATTCAACTCGTTGCATGTATTATTTTCCTAATTCAAAAGATATAATATTTATTATTATTTTGCAGTTGCTTAGAGTTCACTTTATTTAAATGAATAATTTTCAAAATTTTTGTGACGTTTAGCCAAAAAATGTGGACTGATAGGAGCCAGTACATGGAAATCAAATCAAACAAAATTCACATCAGAAGCTGCTTCAGAAAACCTATGTGTAAAGAAAAAAAGCAGCAGCAAAAGCAGGAAGACGATATAATGTAAAGACAAAAAAAATATCATAAAAAGCGGAAAAATATCTGAAATTCGGTGTGGAAAGGAAGAGAAAAATATCTGTCTTCGAGCTTATATAATAATACTATGTATATGCAATGATTGATTAGTAATAAATAATATATTATTTACGTTTGGGCCCAAAGATACTTAGAAATATCTCAAGAATGCTTCAAATCTCAAACACTTTTTAATACGCGCTTATTACACTTTTTCATTTGACTTGCCGGAGCTATCTCACTGCGCCGCCGCAGAACATGTCGTCAACCACCGCATCCGGCGGAGACTCTCCCTCTCGCCACCTCGACACGCCGACGCTAGACAGGGAGTACTCGGCGCTGCTCCACGCCATTTCCGAGCACGGAGGCTATGCCTACGTCAGCATGGCGGCGCTAGCTGCCGGGGGTGAATTTCGCGCGGCGGAGGCGGCGCGCGAGATGGCGTGGGAGCAGCTGCACTCGGGGCCGTGGCACTCGGTGCTGCCGGTGTGGCGCGACGCGTACTCCATGGCGTGCCTCCACGTGGCGAAGCACCACTACGGCAACGGCGAGTTCAAAGAGGCTCTAAGGGTTTTGGATATGGGAATCATCATGGGAGGGACGCTACTCAGAAGGGATTTGGACTCTGCCGTTGAGAAAGTGTCCGAAGAAACAAGGAGCGTTAGGGTTTCTGATTTGGGAAACTCCGAGCATCGACTCGTTGCTCACGATTTTGATGTGATTGAGGTGAGGTCCGTTCCTCTTTGTTTTATTGGATCATTGTTTTTGTAGTGAGTTTCTGAAATTTGAATAATAAAGTTTCAGTAACAGTGAGTAACTGAGTATTTATTTTATTTATTTTTTAATTGAATGGAAGTGTAAAGAATCCAAACAATGTTTGTGAATAGAATATGTAGTGTTATTCTCAAGTATGATACAAGATTCAATGTTCATTAATATTGGAATTTGAAGATTGTTTTAAGTTATGTTACTCTATTACTATCTGGTTATTATGGAGTTGGATTTGAGAAAGTTGATTTATGTTATGGGTATATTTGTTGCATGGCCCTTCTAACGTTTATGTTATAGCTTTTTACACTGTAGGTGCTCCAACTTTTACCTGTCAAGTCCCTTTATTCTAAGCTTGTGGTGAAGAAGTCCGCGCCATCATTGGAAAAATTCCTCAAAGATCATTACCTGTCTGGCTCCCCAGTTGTTATTAGTGATTGTATGGTTCACTGGCCAGCCAAGATGAAATGGAATGATGTTGATTACTTGCTAAGAGTTGCTGGTGACCGCACAGTTCCGGTTGAGGTAATTCCCCTGATTGGTATATCTGTAATTATGAAGGCACCTGTTCTTCTTTGAAGAACACCTGTAGAGAGTATGGATTGCTGGCTGATGATTTTTTCTCCCTGAAACTCAGACCATTTACATTAAACTTAACTCACATTTGTTAACAGTTACCTGTGACTCACTCCTGCTTCATATATGTGTAATAGCTGCTAGATTCAAAGCTGAATTATGAAATTTAAATTGTTTGCTGGTAATATTTCTTTAACAACTTTATTATTAGTAGTTTGGGAAGTTTATCCAGGCTGTTTCAGTACAATAAATTCAAGCTGTATGAATGGAGAGAAAAATTTTGAGAGTAAAATTTAATTCAAAACTAAAACATCTACCTTGGATAGTTATTGACAAACACAAACTTTATGCACTTCACACTGGCAATGAAATTGTCTTCTCAGTGAAATCTTATATCTTGTCCTCTCTTTGTAAATTATATTTCCTAAATTTATGTCTACAGGCAATAAAATTCATCAACTACGACATCATTCACCTGGAACATACTTTCATGCAATTTTTCTATTTGCATTGCTTACTAATCCCTTCAAATATCTCTGGTTTTATAGGCCTAAAAACTCTGTGTAGAAATCCTAAATTTTCCCTGTCATGCATCTAACAAATGAGTAAATTTTGTTGTGGTTGCAATGCTTTGGGAGTTAAGACTTCTCCCACCCTCCCCTCTGACATTCCATGGTAGTTCTTTTTATCCACTAAGTTGTTAAAACTGAAATGGGAAATAGGTAATGAGATAAAAAGTGAAGAAATTTATGATTTGCATGAAGTGAATGTTCATTGTAGTACCTTATGTCTTTACATTGTAACATATATAAAATCCTTTGTTTGTATTCATGCTGCATTTGCCTCGTGTAGACTGTTTCTGTCATGGCAACATTGTTGGAAGTTGTTTAGCAGTATATAGGAAATCCTGTCACACCCACACACACACAAAAAAAAGTGGGTGCAGTGGATCTTTTGCATGTATTTTTTTTTAAATAAATATTGGAAAAAAAGGGTAAGTGCAGCATTCTTCACTTCTTTGCAGGTTGGGAAGAACTATTTATGTGCAGAGTGGAAGCAAGAGCTAATTACATTTTCAGAGTTTCTTCAGCGGCTAAAGTCTGATGACTGTTCTCCCGGTGGTCCTACATATCTAGCTCAGCATCCATTATTTGACCAGGTATTTATAATTTAGATTTGTATCAACTCCAAATCAACTTTTGCAATTTTAACGTGTGTGCAGGACTTGTGCTGCTTCCACTAATATTATTGAATTGGCAGATAAATGAGCTTCGGAAAGATATCTTTATCCCTGACTATTGTTTTGCTGGCGGAGGGGAGCTACAATCTCTCAATGCTTGGTTTGGTCCAGCTGGAACAGTAACACCATTACACCATGATCCACATCATAACATACTGGCTCAGGTAATTCAGTTGTGTACTTTGTATTAAACAATTACAGAACAAATCTGCCTTTTGCAACCTCAACCCCCCACCTCGTCCTGAAAAGAGATTATGTCCCACTAGCTGTTAGATATGGCCTTCATCCCTTGAGCGTTAGTACCCCAAGTAATTATTACTGTAACAATTGAGGTCCCGTGAGTCCAACTTTTAGTAATGCGATTACTGAACCAATAGTGAGCCAGATAAAATACAAAGTTCAGATTTATCACTATAGATTATTTTAAGAGACCTTTAATATATGAGGATGACATTGTAATTTATATTATAGCCTCATTATTTAAATTGTTATGACGCTGATTAAGTGCTTATGCTATTCGGACAGAAAATTGCCTCAATTATATCATACTATTAGCCATATTATGCAAACTGTGAAGGGTCACTGTGCGCCATGAAATAATCTATTTGACTGAAATCGTTGTCTTGTTTCATACATCCAGGTTGTTGGGAAAAAATACATTAGGCTTTACTCATCATCTTTGTCTGAGGAACTTTTCCCCTACTCTGGTACCATGCTTTGCAATTCTAGCCAGGTAATTAGTGTTTTGAACTGTATTATTGAACGACTTCTCATGTTATCTACCTGTGGCTTTTCTTGGAGTATAGCACTTTTTCTGCATCCCATCTGATGGCCAGAGAGCTCTTGAAGTATTTCTTTAGTTTAACATTTCTTTCTATCTTATTTTTCCTTTTCCCCCGTTACTCAATGTATGTCTAGGCTTTTATCATTACATAGGCTACAGATAGCCCTGGCAGCCAAGTGACCACTTATTTAAGCTTCTATAACTATACTAAAAGATTCCATCATAGATCTGTTATGAGAATAGGTTTGTTGTGACAAAAATGATTCTTCTGCAAATGCAATGCTTATGACTAGACTAGCTGCCAACAGGATGTATAAAGGACATTTTTTTCCAGTTTACTTAACAATATATGATAGGATTAAGCCCATGAATCCGCTATGTTACAAAGTGTTTACAATATTGGGGTGTTGATTGTGGTTAGCTTCCTACAATTTCATTCAAACGGCACAAACTCTGCCATCAATTATCTTATTTTCATCTAACTTTTGCTTAGATCTTCCTTAGATGAGGTGTGTGCTTTATTTGTATTTATTGCTTTTGACATTTTGAAATATCTATCTCCATGTTGATTGGAAATTTCTTGTTTTTGAAGGTTGATTTAGATGACATAGATGAAAGGAAGTTTCCCAAGGTGCAAGACTTGGAATTTGTAGACTGTATTCTAGAGGAGGGCGAAATGTTATATATCCCGCCAAAATGGTGGCACTATGTGCGGTCTTTAACTACCAGTTTATCGGTTAGCTTTTGGTGGAGTGAGGGTGAAAGTTCGGATGCATCCTAATGTTATATCATCTTGATGTTTACATTTCATTCTTTCTTAATGTCGAACTGTGCATGTTCTAAGTAACGTTGCTAATATCTATGTGACTGGTCTTTTTACGTCCCAGTGCAGTAGAATCCTCGTGCTTAAACATCATTTTTGGCACTTGCCATCATTAATAAAATATATATAAAAAGAAAAACGTGCAATAGAGCTGCTAGGCACATTTGATTGTTCTTGACTTTTTTACCCTTCAATTACTGATCATAAAGGTTTTGAAACGCAGTCGCAAACACTAAACTAATCTGTTAGTACTCTGTTTCTTGTTGACTTCATTCGTACTGAAAGCTTCTGCATGCGCGGGAATGTTTCATCTGAGTAGGTTGTTTAAGCTGGGGAGTTCAGCTATATAATTAATTTTCCCCAACCTTCTATAGTTCTCTGATAAGACCGTTGGTTTGATCTAATGAATTCGATAAACGCCATACTGTAAAGTAACACAAACAAAATCGGTGGTATGTCCCCTTCAATACCAATAATTGCTATTTGCTACTAAACTGTCCTTTTTCCAACACTTATTCATAGTAATTAGAAAAAAAAAAATCCTTTATTAGTTAGTCTCTTTATTATTCATGAACACTGCAACTAATAAGAACTCGTCTATGTCTAGTAAAAGTTAGTAAAATAAGCGAAGAGGGTAATATTATCCTTGGGATTCTTGTGGTCGAATATGAGAAAAATAAGACAAGGTCAGTGATCAGCCAGAGGTGAAAACATGTCGGTGCTTTACGTTTTCTCTATTCTGAACTACATAAAGTTGAGAACATTCATAATTTTAATTGCCAAATAATTCTTTGCACTTATCTACTCAATTACGAGCACCCAAATTTGAGAACGCAGTAGATTAAATCAATTTGAACCACTATTATTTACGCTCACATATATTTGACTAGTTACTGACTTAAATATTGCAGAGGCTAAAGAAAAATAAAAAAATATGTACATATAAAACTTGATATAAATTTCACTCAGGCTGCAGACTTGTACCTGCAAAGAACTTTACACCTCAAGACCCTATCCTGAACGTAAAACCCCGGCATCACCATGATCTTAACTCTGCTTGGACCTTGTGATCTTGGGCACATATCTTCCATGTAGTGAGGATCAAAGGTTCTATTCTCTTCAACCCTTAAAATTCCCAACGGTGGGTTGAAAGAAAAAGCAAGCAAATGTAGCAGCCACATGCATTTTGCTGCCACAAAGAAAGTTTGAAGGAGCTGCTCGGGCCAAGGCCTTGTCCAATTTAGACTAGTGGTGATACAACTCATTTTCTGGTCACAGAACTTGCTAAACTCCTCACTGTAATACTTTGTTCCCTTTCTCAGCACCTCATTCCAGCTCAAATTCCTAAGGGCAACAAATGAGGAGAATTGCGCTTGCCGATCCTGCTGCGGGTCTAGGAATTTTGAGCAACCATACTTTTGGAACACACAGTTCTCAAAGTCTTGGTAGAGAGACTGATTTATGAAAGCTTCAATATGGTATAGAACTGCCTTTGAGTGCTTGGAATTCAGAGACAGCTTATATGGTTGAAGAAGCAAGTTCAAATTTTCTGTCAAAGAATGATCAGTTTCTTCAATGTGGTTTATAAGGGTCTTACAGAACTGCTTCACTGATAATCTTGACTCTGATACTATCTGCAAGAATCCCTCTACCATTACTTCCTCACTCACAGGCATCAAATTTCCTCCATTCCCATCTAATGATTTCCCTCTATGAGGAAGATTACTGAGTTGTTCACAAAGTTGAGAATCCCTTGCCTGCATGGCTTGCCTCAAAGCTTTCTTCAGCTCTTCACAGTAACCCTCCAAGTACTCCAGCTTCTGTTTCAACTCCCCCAATGAAGATCTCATCTCAGAAACTTCCATTAGTGCTACATCTCGGTTCTCATTTGCTTCCACCAGCTCTCTCTTCAATGTCTCAATTGACATTATTCCCAAGTCCTTAAGAACCTGAGAAACATCCTCAGATTCTGCTCTATTTGGAGAATTTTCATTCTTTTGCTTCTTCTTTAACCGAGGAAACAACCATGAAATCACCCCCTTGCTCTTGGGTTGGGACTGAAAAGATGAATGGGAATCTGCGACAGGGACAACAATATTGGAGCTCTTGCTGTTCCTTGCATTCTCAAATTCACTAGTTATGATGGCAGGGTTACATTTATTGCAGGAGGATATCGACTTGAAATCTTCCAAACTGTTTCTCCTCCTACACTTGAAGTAATCATTTGCAGGTGACGTTGGAAGAACAGTAATTTGATTTGCACAAGAGCCAGTTACAGATTTGCTATCGTCGCTAGGACATATGTGAGATTCTAGGTTGGCAAAACCACAATATAGTCCCTTTCTTGAACTTGATTTCTCCTTGTACTCTGGCACAATGGTTTCTATGCTGTTCCCTCCTTCTAAACTCTCATCCCATCCATCTGATATTGTTAGGCTTTTCAAGGGGTTTTGATTGTATCCCACCGCTGGGTCATCTTCATAGCTCTGTCAACAATTTTCACATTAAGAAACTTATTATCACAAAATTTAATACATTAAATGCTACACTTTTCAATAGAAGCTTAATATTTTGTTTTTATTTCTTAACATGTGCCCCTAGAAAAATCATATTATCAATTATCAATCAAATTTGTAAAAATAATAAAAATAATAATATTTAAAGGGGAGGGGAACTTGGAGCCAGTGAACCACAAAAATTGGTTGAACCTGAGAACCACAAAAGGAGAGATAAAAACATTAAATTATTCTTCAAATGAAAGAATTAGTCAGATAATAAGTGTCACAGTGCAGAATTTGCTTCAGGATTTCAGTTCATTGACTTATTGAACATTAAAAGTTCCACGACAGGGAAATTAAAGCAGGAATCCCAAAATCTTAAAAAGTCAAACTCATTGAGATTAAATGAGATAGAGAAAAGGGAGCAACGATTAAGGATGTAACCGTAATAATATTGACATCTACCTATGAGCTACAAAGAAGGAAGCGGTTCATAATTCATCAACCATCACAAATAGCAGCGTTCAAGGGAAAGAAGCACAACACAAATATTGAAATCAGGCTAAAAATGATTGCATATTTCATAAATTCAGGTATCTTGAATTCGGTCCCTATCATGATGAACAGAAACAATCATTTAACACACAATCCGGCAACAGTACTGTCAATTTGAAAACAAAAACAAAACATCAGTTTTGATATGAATTGGGAAGATTCTAGGATACCCAAATCAAATTTTTAAGCCAAAGTCCAAGAAAAAAAATTATACTTACAGGGGTGAAAACAGGGTAATCTTGCGCAGAGAAGTGAGGAACAGGGCGTGAAGCAGGGGAAGGAGATGGGAATCTAGCATTAGCAGGGCTATTTCCTCGCATTAAAGCAGCATGAAGTGCTCTTAACTCCACTGCCTTGGCTATGGCGCTTTGAATTTCCTGCCTCGTAATTTCAGGGTTGCCATTGTTGCTGTCTTTGAAAACTGTTGGAGTAGCAGTTGCAGCCATGAAACAGAACAGAGGAAAAGAACAGAGTGGAACATGTAAATTTCGAGAAGATAATATGGGCACTTAATAAACTTGGATTTTACTTTGTTTTTTTAATGGATGAGAAGAACAAAGGGGTAGTTATTCAATGGTTGGATTTGATTTAAAGGCTATATCTAAAGTAGAACCTTGGAGAACCAGAAAATAGAATGAGAAAGATAGAGAGGGGCACAACAAGTCCAACTTTTTTTGTTTTTATTCTCATTGGAAGATTAATGGGATGAGAGAGCATGTGATGATGTGAAAAGAAGAAAGAGTGAACTGTGAAGGAATTTTAACTCTTACACGTATGTACACATCAGCAATGTGGTGCCACTTTACCAATTTGCCCATACTCATATATTCCAAATACTTGAAGAACCCAGCATTAGGTGGTGGTGGTGGTGGTACCACTGTTTCCCATGATTGCTTTGGTATGAGCATGAGAAGTTCCATGCCACTATCTTCCACCTCCATATATGTGGTCAACTAATTATGCTTTTTTCAATTTAGAGATTTTTTCAACCATGTGTTGCTTTAATGCTAATTGATACATCGTGTGTAATCATCACAGTCAATGACTTGCCTTCTGGAGCTTGGTTCACAAAGGCACCAATTAAGCTAGGTGGGTTTTCTTTTTCATAATGAAAACATGTTCTTATATCAAGTCATATGGTAATGTTTTGAATCCCATTATGCTGCTTTCATCTACTTCTTTTATACATGTTCATGTCCTTGTGTAGCAATTACTTCCTTACTTGGTTGGCCATACTTGGATTTGAACCTAAAACTTACAAGAATAGAGAAGTTTCCTTCTCCTGAATCATATGCCTAATGCACAAACTGTAGCATTAACTCTCTAAAGTTTTAAGTGCTTAAACATGTCCTGATAACTAGGGATAGAGGGCAAATTCACAAGGAGATACTCTCTTATTAAATTTATGTGTCTGAGCTCAAATTGGACATTTTAAAAGCCTTTTACTTACTCCAACTGGAAAAAGTAACTTTTTTTTTTCCTTTTGCGAATCCCTAACGTGCAATTATGTTGGTTGAGGACCATATTCTTCAAATAAAGAATGAAAATCAATAATATTGAGGCGTGCAAGGTGCAGTTTTTTTTGGGAGAAAAGGGGAAAGCAAATAACCAAAATCTACCAAAAGCTTGACACTCAACAGACACAGAATCATTTATACGAGACAGAGTGGCACAGTGGGGATCAAGTGACCAAGTGGGCACGGGGTAGCATTTTAAATTACGAAAAAACCCATCTCATGTCATATATGAGTACTAGTCCCCAAAGGGTATTTTTGAAAATGGAGAATCTTCATTATACAACTACCGCATAATTTCATGTAGGACAGTGGAATCGTTTGGGTGATATTTTGACCCTAATAAGATAAGGTTTGAAACAATTATTCAATCTTGGTGTGTAAACATAGTTTTATCATTGTCATTTAGAGTAAAGATCCATTTTAGTCATTTAAATTACAAGTATAGATATTTTATTCTTTAACTTTACAAAAATGTTATTTTAGTCTTTAACTTTTAAAAAAATTATTTATTGTAATCTTTGTTTTACTTTATTTTCATTTTCATTTTACATAAAAAAGTTATATTTTTAAAAATTATTTATTATTGGCTTTTTGTACTTTATTTAACATAAAAAAGAGTAAAATAAATATCATTTTGTAAAGCTAATGATTAAAATAAGATTTTTATGAAATCGATCATTAAAACAATTGATGCATATAATTTATTGTAATCTTTGTTCTTTTATTTATTTATTGGTAGAGAGAATTTTATATTTATGTAAGTTACAACAGTTCAAGGGTTGCTTCATGCGTAAAATGAGTGAGTGTCCATGTAACGAGACAATGCCGCTAATACTAGAAAATATTTAAGAGTGCAGTTCAAATTAAAATGCTAATTTATGTATAAAAAATGAAGGTGGAGAACCAGTTTCATTAGATAGGATCAAAACCCCTGAAAATTTTTAAGAAGTTCCTTGTTTCGGAAACCACTCTTTTTCATGTACAAGTCACGGTTTTATGGAAATCATGCACCTACAAATTTGAGTAAGATTTGTGAAAGCACCACATGCAAAAAAGCTTCTCTTCTTATTTAATTGACAACATTGGCACACGATACCTGAATTAAATTATGGTATTATTATCATTATTGAAAGCATAGAGATCAAGCATGTCAAAAGAACATAGTAACTCGTTAGGTAGTTTGGCCAACTCATTATGATATAGATGTGATTGGTTTTGAGAGATAGACCAAAGATTAAAAAAAAAAAAAAACAAGTCTCTTCCCACCAAACAAAAGATACCAGTCTTTCTAAATTTCTTTTTTAAAAGAAGGTTAATTAGATAAAGAGAGAAAGTTACAGAGACTTACTTAATTAGCTAAAATTTATTAAAATTATAAAAATATAAAATAGAATTATTATATTAAGAAGAAACTTACTTAATTTTTTTATTTTAAAAGTTGTAAACCAATAATTAAGAATATGTTTTAAAAAATATACAATTTTTCTCTTCTTTCAATATTAATCTTTTATTTATTTTTGCCCTCAAAGTGGTAATTTCATTATTTGTCTAATTATAACTGTAACCATTCAATGTTTCTTATCACTACTTAGTACTTACACAGGTCTGAAGTCATCTCAGCAGTACAAAGAAATAATTTTGCTAATACAGACATACCTGGGCAGAGAGGAATAGATAGAAAATTGTACATTTCCTTCTTATCAAATGGGACCTGATAAGAAACATCAGAGTACATAGGGATTAATCATGGTGTAAGATTTTACCAAGGAAAGGTATCTTTCTGTCTGTTATGCCAATAATTGACTACATTGGCAAAGGGAAGAGGGGACAACAAAGCTCTCTAAAAATGACTTAGGATAAGAGAAACTGTGATTCACACTAATCAATTTAAATCATACCTCTTACCTGCTTAGGTTATAAAGGAAACCAATCTTTGGAAAATCATAGACAAGGAAATATGGGACCGGTAAGGTGATTTTATTTGCCAGGGGCTCACATAACCATTAGACAAATGTGGCATTGCACTAGGAGGGGCCATTTAGCATTATAGTAGAACAATTTGCATCAAAATCTTCTTGTAAATAAACCTCTTTTGTTTCCTTCTATACATAACATGGGCATGCACCTTGGTTCTAGATTTGTGTGCGTGAGGATTATTTCTCTTTCATTTTCACTCACTGTCACAGCCTAGCCTGAAAGCTACAAGTGATATGAATTTAATGTCTCTTTCGGAGGAACAAAAGAGGAAATTGTAAAGAAATAAACAAAGCCAAGTGCAAGCAACATTACAATAAGCGTGGTTCTGTTTGATTAGTATAAAATGACACCACCACCTCACCTCACCTTTTTATACATGCTTTACATTTTGTCCATGTTGTCTTTAGCAGTTATTTTGATTGTTTATACTTTCTTTCTCATAGCCTGAATCTAAAGAAGGTATAAGAAAAGCCAACCCAAAACGACTTTACCGTTAAGAAATATTTACAATATCAAAGGTTGGAAAAAGTACTAGATACATTTGGAGAGATTGATAAAAATAGTGGCACTCTCTCATAACAACTAATCTTACCCAAAAAAAGATGGACAAAATTATCTGAAGACTCTAATAAAGAAAAAAATTGTTTGGCTTGATTGATGCAATGCTAGGAGGAACTTGACCTTCACATGGGTTTGTTAAAGGTGACAACCAGAGACACGATGGTATAATGTGGCGAAGTCTTTACAGGTAGATTATACGTTATATATTGCTTCTTTCTTTTTTTTTTAATATTTGTCTTGATTGATATTTATTTCATTTTATTTTCTTTTATTTGAAAAATAAATTGTAGAATGCCCCAAAAGAAATCATCACCAACAATGGTAGAGAGCTGCATCAAAAATTGGGCTGAAAGACATAACTATTTTTAATATTTTATTTGTTTTTAAATTATATTTTATTTGCTTAAACATTTTGGATGAGTGCTCTTGTCTTGATTCCCTGTCATTATTAACATACATCCCGCGTATTCTGACCGACTCCGTGCTATATCTGATATCGCAAAGGATTTGTGACATTTCCGTTTCGTACGATGAAAAATATAATAGAAGCAGAGCAAATTTCAGATGTCTGTCGTGACGGGACTTATTAAGGCTCAGTCGACACTCCTTTCTACTGTTAAAACGTAGTCTTTGTTAATTGATTGTTAATATTTGTTTGGTTTTTTAAATTGTGTAAAATTAATTTTGATAAAATTAACTTCAAATTATTAAACATAATTAAAATATGTAAAATTAATTTAAATAATATATTTTTATGAAGTGTTTGTTTGAAAAATTTTCATAATTTCGTTGCAGTAGAACTTTAAAATATTAGCTTTTGTTAAAATTTAATATATATTGTAAAAATTGCTTTAGAAATTTTGTTAAAACCGGAAAATAAAATGGCCCAAGACAGTTTGAGAAATATACTAAATCAATTCTTTTATTATAATAAACATCTTAATATAAAATTTATAAATGAAACTAATTTGTGCAAATATTTTCATAATATTCAATATTTAAAAATTAATTATTAAAAAATTAACTTATTAAATGAACCTTAAATTGTTCGATACTTAAACCGCACGCAAGTTCTGTATCTAATGTATATCAACGGAAATACTATATTTATATATAATGTTTATTTATACAGGAAAGAGTGATTGAAAAAAGGAAAGAAGTATAAAATACATTAAAATTGGCACCACCTACAAAATCCGTCGAAGCATGAAACTAATCTTCACTTCTGCATGACTCATGTCGTTGGGAAACCACAAGCAAAGAAGATTTCTGAAAACAATAATTAATCGGCCTAAAGTACAAAACTTGACTATTTTAAAGATCAATTTAGCAAATACTGTCATGCATGCAAATTTGATTGCTGCAAGATTGAATGTTATTTCCAACCAGATCAAGGAAAGGAAGTATGGGTGAGTGACTACTTGGGCAAGTTATAGAAGCCAAATGATTTATAGTATACTTCAACCAAATTAAAGGAAAAGAACAAAAATTGATTTAGGAGAAACTAATTTTAAACCACTCGGATGTTGTCAGATGGGAATATCGGGCAATAAAACTCGTAAAGTTCAAACAAAAAAATTATAAATGAATTTTTTAATCCACAAACCTTTGTTCCAGCAACAATGGCATTATATAAAGGGTGAGCAGCACATGAGATAACTCCTTCCGATAAATAAATAAACCGATTTTGATTACTTTGGTTGTTGCGCCTTGAAATTTCTTGTATATCCTCCCTGTAAATAGTAAAAATTATAATTGTTAAGAAAAAGAAAACATTTTGCAATACAATTTAATAAGTAAATTTAGGCACATGGATATTTGGCTTTCAGTGTATAGTTGTGCGGTTAACTTAAGTCAAATACCGTGGACTTTACTGTATATGTGTTTTCTCAATTAAGTGTTCAATTGAAGTTAAAATAAGTACTTTGGGGTCAATTAGTAAATGTCTCTCATTGTTGGAGTGCCTTACTTGTAATCTACATGGCTCGGTGAACTGGTGCTAGGATAGAAATCCAAGAGATGAATGCCATAATCAGATGATGATGCAACCAAATAGACCTGCACAAGATTATAACACAATTAATTATTTCATGGATGAATATAAAGGAAGTATTCTTATAGTGAGATGTACTTAGAACAGTAAATAGGAATACGTGAATGTTTAGTTTTTAGTTGAAAATGTTCAAAAAATAATTTTGGTAAAAGTTTTTCTTTTGTAATTTTTGTTCAAATTTTAAATTTAAGATTCTCAATTGAACCAGATGCACCATAAATGAGTTTAAACAGCATAGCGTAAATAAAATTTATTTCATATAATTTTCATCCATTTATCTTCTGATCCTTACATTTTTCTTTTGATATTAGTTCTTATATTTTCGTTTGTTAAGTTTCATTATTCTATTGTTAAACAATTTCATTATTCAACCTAAAAATTGATACCATATATGACATCGTACATAATTATTTTTATCTCCGTTTTTTTTATCTTTTTGCATATACACATCCCAAAGTAAAAGGAACTATAGTTGTCTCTTAAAGTAGGACTCCTAATCCCTATAGCTTTGTTCTCATTAAACTTTAGGTTACTATTTTTCATTAAAAAGTATTTTTACTTATTATGGTATCGATCCCAAAGGGATAAATAAAATGTAAAAATAAAATAAATTATAAATGCACCAAAAGCCAAATGAGTGATAACTCGAGGGACAAATTATAACCTACAAAACTACCGATAGCATTGCCATAAGCACTATATTAAAAGTAGAAGCTGATGATAAATAATAACTTTCCAACACGACTAAAAGTAAAAGTTTTGTAGGGAATCATATACACAAAAATAAAGTAGACGCATTACATTTATTAAAATTTCTTACCGAACACGTCGATAACCATGAAGGTTTTCTTAAATATGATAGATCAGCGGGAATATATGACTCATTTCTAACAAAAGAAAAGTAAACAGAATAATTAGACATTGTGTTAAGCCTTTTCACAAATATCCACAAAACAATTCTAAATGAAAACTAACAAACTTACAACCAAGCTGGGGGTGGGCAATGAATATGTGTAACTTGAAAATTATTAATATCCAAAACGCCTGACCTGCATGAAAATGTTAAAGTAAAAATTACCACAACCAAAGTAACAAATGTAAGGAAGCATTTTTCATGACGTAAAATTCAGTAATAGCAAAAAACCTACACGATGTAATAATCACTACTGACATCAAATGGCACTGTTTAATGGTAGATAATAAATACAAACAAATTATTTCTAGATTCAACACGAAGAAAATTCAAAAAGGCCATTCAGCAACAACATCATATTACCCAGTCATATGAATAACAATAAAGTCTTCCTTTCAGTTGATAGTCAAATGGTAAAAACTTAGAGGATATATTTATGGAAATTCTCCTCGTTAAGTGTCTTTGAATAAAGAAATTGCCGGCACACAGAAAGCACATTGAATATATCCTCACAATAAATATGGTAACCTACCAGCCATCGTCAAGATGGAATGCTAACTGATACGGGCATGATGTATTAATATCAATAGAGTGAATCTCCTTGGGAACTATATCTGTTTGTGCCTGCACAAAATAAGAATGGCTTAGCATATCAACTACGAGTATGCTACTGCGCAAAAGACAATTACCACATGGTGAAATCCAGACACACTATTGCAAACTATATGCCTATCGGCTATTGCCATTGATTAGAAGAATTAATACTTGTATTCTTCCTAAGGTAGTCAGCCAGTCACAACAATGACACCAACTTTAGCACATACAGTAGTATTATCACCTACAGATATGAGACTTTTTTACCGGCATTAAAAAGCCCTTTTATGAGTATGACATCAGTCATAGCTGACCCACATGCCTGTTTTGCATAGGAAACTAAAGAAACAATGTAAGATCATAGAGTAGTTAACAATTTCTAATGCACAGTAGAACATAATTATGGACACCACATTGTATAAGAGGTATACAAGAATTCATCTATAAATACTGTCAATTTTTGTATTTGTGGTTGTATAATCATTGATCTTCACAAAAAACAGCATTACGGCATAAAATATAAATAGCACAGGAGAAAGATTTCAAGAGAGAAACCAAAATAGAAATAAAAAACTGTTAAGGATTCCTCTGAAGTAGTAGCTTGCATAATTCTTGTAAATGAAGCAAAATTCAGTAAAGGGCATATGCCTTGTAGAGAAGATTAGGAAACAATCATCAAATAAAAAACTAAAATTTAGAAAAAGAAATATCACCAAAATACTTTAAATGTATGGACAGAAATCTGAAGCAGAAACTAGTCTTATTAGTACACCAAAATAAGATATGGCATAGTCATGAATCATGATACTAAAGCTACTGAAGCTGTATTGCTCATCACGAAAATAATCTTTTATATGTAGATCTAGACAATAGAAAACTATATAGCCATAACATAGAAGGAAGTAGTTTTTCTCACATTTTAATTTGTAAAAGCAATAGATAGGAACAGGAAGGATAACCACACCTTCAAAGATCCAATCTTCTCTAGCAATGTTGCTAACTTCACTGATGTTACAGGTGGATGGCATATCTAGAAAGGCAAATACATAAAATCATTCTAAAATACATTCACCCAATAAGTCATGCCTCTCATTCAACAAAAGTATGTTGCAAGTGGTAACAAAATTGTAGTATGGAGACAATGGTGATAACACCAAAAGTTTAAGTTTCAGAAAACTGTTCATGTGTTTTCACCTGACAGCTTAAAACTTTTGAATAATTGGCTCATAACATAACATGATATCAAAGCACTCATAACAAAGTGGTCTAAAGTTCAATTCTTACCACACCCATTCTTCTAATATGAAGTTGAATTCCAACAAAAAGTAAGTTGGCCTCATTAAACACGCTACAAGCCCAAAGGACTCTCATGTGAAGAGGCATGATAGAGACATGATATGGAACCATTTATGCATCTTCTCCTAACAGCTTAAACCTTTTGGATTGTTGATTCATGAAAACACACTTATGCTTTGAAATTGTAAATAAACAAAGAATAAGGCAACTAGCATGGAGCCAGGTTGAATGATATTGCCTCATGCCTTAGAAGGTTTTGTCTTTAATTAACCCTCCAAGGTAGAAGAATATGCATTACAGAAGATGTCCAGGTAGTCTTGATTCCTTACTTACTTTTAGATGTGTCTTTTTCATAACATAATAGAAAGAACAATCACTATGTAAAGATATAACCTCTTTGTGACTTTGAAAAGTGGCAGAAGCTCTTCCACCACGAATATCCCACATATACATGAGCCCATGCTTCCCTGCACCAAAAATAATCTGGAAAGGATAGAATAATCACTATTTGCAATTTCTTCAAATATTGACTGAACACAGTAAAGATGTATTCCAAAATTTGTCCAAACCAAAACCTGATTCAACTGCATCTATATTATGTTATCCACAGCAGTTTTCTCAAGGTTATATGGACTGAGAAATGTGTCATTTCATTAAAAGTTAAAATACCCATGTAAGGGACAAGGATCACTTATGTCTAGTAGCCTAGAACCTATATTTTATTAACATCAATATTACATGAACTACAAGATTTAGACAGTCGGTCAACTAAAATGGGTACTTCAGTATCAATGTTTAATTTACTACTTAAAATGAGCCTAAAAGTTTGTCAGAAACATAAAACATATTAACTTTCCATTCAATAATGTTCATACTTTGAATCCCTAACATGTGTTAACGACATTTTTGGCATTTGTCTAAAAAAACGAGTGGGAAGCCAAGGTTAAAACATGCATTATTCTCAGAGAATTGCAAAATTACTCAACAGACTACATACAAAATTTCAAACCTGATTATCAGCATTTAATTGGATTCTATTAATGGTATCACATGAAGCAGATGCAAGCTCAAGGCAAGGTAGAGCATTCACTCTTCTATCCCAGATATTAATCACACCATGTGTATCAGAAGCAAGTATCCTGATAAAATTCACTAGCAAACTGAGAGAAGCATAGTAACGGAAAGAATTAATAGATTCACAAAATGAGAATTATCGTTAAGTGTCAGTTGTTATGCAGACTCAAGTATCTAGTGCAGAGGGAGAATCACACAAGCATAAGCAATTAAGTCTAGTGGACAAAATTATATATCAATGGAAGTAATTAAAACTTTAAATTACATCTTTAGACACAACGAATATAAGAATGAGTGACACTGTATTAGGAATTCATTATTCCAGTCAGGCAGTGAAGCAGTTCCTCAAAATTAAGGCTCAATTAACAACCTTGTGTCATTTGATGTAAAAGCAACATCAGAGAGACCTTTGTGTATGCTGGACCCATGAACTGTGGTTGTATGTCTTGTTCTTAACACCTGTATCATGTAATTCAAGGGCAAAATTTTAGCTAGCCTAGCATGTATAAAATAACACCTATGCTGCTGCAAATGACCAAGAAAGTGAAAAAAATAAAATGAAGCCAAAATAATAAAATGTGAAAATAGTAATTTCTTAGCTTATCCCTCAAAAACAAGAGGATAAGAGCAATGGGTGATTTGATGATTATGTAACTAGATTACTGTCCTGCAATATGCATCCACTTCCAAAGGGTTAGTATCTAGAATGTTTCCTGGTTCGTCTGTATAAATATGCACCCAAAAGAAATGGGTTGCAAGATATTAATCCAGATTGCAGATGCCTTGTTTGAGGTAATGATTTGATAAAGGTTGGTAAAGGTAATACTTTTTTATAATTAATAACAATTAATTAGACCAAAATTTCAAAACACAAGACAACACTTAACTATAATTGTATATGTAATAAGAAATTGATATCGGATGATTTGACGTTGCATCAAATATCAACAGTTGAAAGTAGAAACATGTTCTGATTTCTAAACGGAAAGAGTTGCCACGATACCGTAAACATAAGCAAGATTTAACAAGAAATTACAATAACAGAGGAGAATGAAAAACTTACTTCAACTGGTTCTGATGAGACATATCCAACATCAAATATGAGTAGTTCATTACTTTTCACAGATGCACAGACAACCTGAATTCAAAAAGTAATACAAATGGTAGGGCAAATAGAACATTGAATTGTATACAACAACAAAGCTATTATTAATGAATGTGACAAATCAGTGATCTCACATAAAGTGCACAAGCACTTGTAAATCTGATAATTTCAGTCTAAAAAAGTGCCAAATCATCAAAAGATTATCCTTGACATACAACAAACAAGATACAATATACACAACTTAGGAAAAAAAATCAAAGTATTTGAGAAAAAATCAAAGTATTTGACAAAGGCTCGGTTTGGATAAGCTTCTAAATAAACCCTTGTAAAAAAAGAAAATCAATATAAAAAATTAATAAGACTTTGTTTATAAGTTAAAAACAACTTATCTCCGCTAGTTTTAGAAAAACTAAATGAGCAACCTTTAAAAAAATTAGAAAAGCATAAATTGATTTTAACTTATTAAAACTAAATGACTTAATTTATGTCTCTTACACGAACTTATTAAGACGTTTATCCAAATTAAGTCATAGTATATATAATGGATGATTCAGAAATTATCATAGATTTATAAATTGCATAATAAAATGCTGACTAAGAAGGTAAGTTAATTAAGCTAAAACCTCATTCTGATTAACAGGATTCCATCTGACAGCATCAAGTTGTTGATTTAGTGAGAGGTGCATTAAATGCTTGCTTTCATCTTCTTTCAAGCCTATCAACACAATTAATACAAAACCAAATTTAAATGATAATTACCACTTTATTTGAAACCCCTCCCTATCCAAGGAAAAAGTAAACGTGAAGCTACTTCAAAATAAAGTAGACACTTTTTCTGACTCTTCCAAACACATTGGGCAGTGAAAAAAAAAAATCCAAATTAGTTATTTAAAACCTATAAAAAATATGTAATTAATGCAAGAGAAGAAACAAGATGTACAAATTTGGAAAAAAAATTCCACCATATGAAGCCTCTATAATAAAGCTAATCACATACCATCAGGTTTTCAAAAAATAACTTAGAAAAGGAAATTTTCATATAAAGAGCTAACTTAAAAGTAGGTTGGCTGGCAAGAAAGTTTACAGGACATTAGTAATTCTTATCATTCTGCAGATAATTAAATAATTATTGATTATTTTGAAGTTTATTTTGAAAGGGATGCATCTGTCTCTGTTTTTATGGTAATCACTGCACAAAGATACAGAGAGAAAGCAGTATAGGATACATAAAGGAGGAAAACAAAAAGCATTCCAAGTGTTAGTAGAATAGCTTGGTCACATTTTCACAATATAAAGATGCAGGAGTACTTATTAAGTTATTATTAATCATTTGAATTCTAGTTGAAGGCCCTAAAAATGCAAACTAAATATTTGGTCACAATATAAAGATTGCAATGAAGAGCATAAAGCCATAATCCTCGCACTAGTTTAACAAATTTGACAAACACGGAAGCATTTTAAAAATAAGCAAAACACACCCATGAAAGCAGAACTTACAAGTTAATTCATGTATCTGGCAATAAAGAGCTTCAAAATCATGCACTGTTAAGCAACCTGCTTTTGTCACAGACACCAAGTATATTCCCTAGAATACAGTTCAAAAATGAAATATTTGAAATAATAAAGCTATGAAAAGTAGAATCAAATAAAAGATGATCAACGTCTTAATTAAGATTGTGTACTTTTCAAAATGAATAAAAAGATAGTCAAATACAATCAACGTTGTTGTGTGGTGAATTCAGATGGACAGTGGCATGCAATACGTTAGCAACAATAGGGAAAGAGTGAGAATATCTCAAAACATGTGAAATTAGTATCAACCATTAAGCAACCAATCATGCCTGACAATATATTGTTTTAGAGAAATGATTTTTTTTTTTTTCTAAACCCTTTTGATTTGGCTCCAAAATAAGCCAAAAAAAAGATGTTACAAAACTTTGAATTTTTATTAAATTTAGCATATCTGAATGAGATACTTTTCTTATTTTAGTTCATTACACATGAATTATCTACTGTAGAAGAATTTCAATGACACCTAGTCAAATAGTTTCTCATTTCAGATAAAGCCTTGCAATATCAATATGCATTTACCTTGTTGTCAAAATCTACTGCAGCGATGCCTTGCCTGTTAACAAACAAATGTAAGCTATTTGTGGAGAGAAATCACTAATGCCACGAAAAAGCAACACAACGCATGGAATGATACATTTCTATCCGTTCATGTTATTACTGACTACTAACTCAATTATTTTCCCGCAAAGAATAAACAAATTTCAAATACACCAATCATAACAAAAATTACCACGGGAAAATAAAGATAAACTTAAATCAAAGCATCTCACACTCATCAAAAATTAATAAAACATCTTACCATGGAGATCAACCTAAGATAAAATAATCATAACAAGAAGTTAGCCAATCTAAAATGTCAACACAAATTGACATGATCATATGTTTTGCATTTATCACTAGTTCATTATGATCATTTGATATTTCCAACCATAATGAACATAGCTTAAAATAATTCAGAAGTAGAAAGAATCGGTAGCAGAACTTCTTAATGAGAAATCGGGAGCCATGCCTACCCCAAAATATTTGATCCAACTAGATATTCAAGGGGGAAAATGATTAAGGCTTAAAAGAAGATGTAGAAACTTTATGTCCCATTTCTTTGAACTTATTTTTATACTCTGCAATTTTTACAGTTAGCAGTATTCATAAAAAAAATCGGATGGAAAGAAGTGAAAATAAAGTGGAGTTAACAGTAAATAGGTATTTGACCAAATTTTGGAATTGATTATAAACAAGGTTAACACTATACACTGTCTAATCTGAAATAATATCCGCAGAGCAATGGTCTGGTCGATTAAAACTCAATCCTTATGTAGCTGATTAAGTTTTATTGAGAGGATATCTGCTTCTTAGCTAAAACAAGAGTGTGGCAACATTATTTTAATAACTCACCACAAATTTTAGTTATACAATTCCTTTTTGCATTTGTAATTGCCAATTAATTTGCATACTAGGCATGAACTGGCGTGTGTGAGCAGAAAAAAAGTTAATTCAGATCACACAAATGAAAGGAATTAATATTTGCAATTTTTCAAATTTAATTAATGTCCACAAGCACGAGGAAGTGAGAGTACTAACTTTCTATATGGAAGATGACGATCACCATTAGCCTCACTAACAAGTCGATTCATCTGTACAGCAACCCCAATAAAACATTAACTGAAGTAAATCACAGCATTACGGAACTGATGTGGCCAATACATACAGTTATGAATACATACATGAGATTGGCACGGCGATCCATCCACTTGATACAAGTGCGGAAAGGCTCCAACCTTAACACAAATTAAGCATAGCGTAAGAGACACGGTCCAAAATCCCAAGAGCAAAACCTAACAACTAAAATCGCACCTCCGAATAGGAACGAATTAGCAAATCCAGCATCTCATGACGATAGTTAGGCTCAAATCTACCATTTAGCTCCACCGAGCTCCTTTTCCAACGCCATCTTCAATTGCAAATTCCCAACCATAACAAATATCAAGACCAACATCCACTAATAAAATGAAATCACTAGACGAATTTACCTGCGAAAAGGTTCAACCCTTTCAATTGAGGGCTTCTGCGAAACCAAGTATTTATCCATTTTCCCGCGCTTTCTCTTCAGATATGCCGCGTTAATGCGTCTCGGTATAGATATTGAAATAAATCACATATACAACCCCTTACTCCACGCGATTCACTTCTTCCCGCCAAAAAAGTGGGCTTCGAAAAGGGTAACACTATGCTTTGGGCCACGTAAATAAGCCCAGCTAATATACGAACAATACCGTAATTTTAATATGATATGAAACATAAAAAAAAAAAAAAAAACCCAATTGAACAATTTCATTTCATTTTATAAATTATCAGAAACCAGTAACTTTTGATTTGTAAATATTATGAACTATAGACAATAAATTGTTATAAATAGATTTACAATGGCACACTTAGAATTAAGCATTGCCCAAAAAATAAAAATGAAAGAAAATCACATTTTTATCTTGCTTTATTTATTCTATCAAAAGTGAAAAGAGGGAAAAAAAATAGAGCGAAGAGAGAATTCGTTGAAATTCCATAGGTTCAAAGAGGCAAAAGAATTGGAACATCAGAATTCAATACAATTCCTCCAATATTACACGATCAACGTTCCAGCCACTCGCAAGTAAACAAGGAATTTCACAGTTCTGATAAAGTGAAAGATCCATTACATAACAACGAGAACACTAAGAATTTGTACAATGCATAAAAACCCTAAGCCCTCTCGCCCCTAATCCTACGAGCAAGCTGAATATCCTTTGGCATAATAGTAACCCTTTTAGCATGAATAGCGCAGAGATTGGTGTCTTCGAACAAACCAACCAAATAGGCCTCAGCAGCCTCTTGAAGAGCAGAGACAGCGCTGCTCTGGAATCGGAGATCGGTCTTGAAATCCTGAGCAATTTCCCTAACCAGCCTCTGAAAGGGAAGCTTCCTGATGAGAAGCTCAGTGCTCTTCTGGTACTTCCGGATCTCCCTAAGAGCCACCGTGCCGGGCCTGAACCTATGAGGCTTCTTCACGCCTCCGGTGGCCGGGGCCGACTTACGAGCGGCCTTGGTAGCGAGTTGCTTCCTCGGGGCCTTTCCTCCGGTGGACTTCCTTGCCGTTTGCTTCGTGCGAGCCATTTCGATCACAGAATTTGCTTGTTTCTGAAGAGTGAATAGACAAAGAAGCCAAGAACTGAGATGATGAAATAAAGACTAAGATGGGGTGTATTTATAGGGTAGAGATTGCGAAAAAAGTGAAGCGGGAACTCATCCTTTTCAAATAATCTTTTAGTTTTGTAAAACTGTGCTCCCGCTGCTCTTATGACCGTTGATGGGCTTTTTAATCAACGGATGTAGTGTTTCCTCAGCTGAAGCCACGGATTGAGATCCGTGGCTCTGAGAAAGAAACCAATAGGAACAGGCCACACCTTCGACCTTATTATCCAATTTTCTTTGCCTTTAATTTTTTTTTCTTTTGTCGGCTTTTTTACTTAAATAATATCATTTTAAAAATAATTTCTTAAAATAAATATATTTTATAATTAATTTTTTATTTGATTTTTTTTTAATTCATCAGTAGTATTAGACGATAGTATATTTTTATTATTATTTTAATATATTATCATTATATAATATTTCATACTTATATTTTTTTAATAATTTTAATACTATCAATACTTATTTTTTTTTTGTTATTTTAAAAATCTGTCTTGTTAAACCTTCCAATACTCAATTTTTTATTGTAACAAAATTTGATTGCTACTCGGCTGAGCTCATTTTGAAGGAACACAGTAACCGCGATTCGAGTTCCGTTATTAGCCTTCAACTCACTCACAAAGCCCTTTTCGATGACAACATTATCAAACAATATCAACTACAAGCCACTCCAATAACCACAGATACAAGTAGTATTTCCCTCTGGAACTATAATAATAAACAATGAAAAAAAAAAAACAGCAACTAAACAACAATTGAACAACCATAATAGGCTCCTGAACTAACAACGAACCTATTGAGTTTCAAGATTTACACGTTCATACTTGAGAATGTTCAGTGTCTTCTGTCTTGCACTGCTATCCTGCAACATTTCAAGAAGGAGCTGCTCTTGATACCTTAACCAAAGGGGGGTACTTGCTTTAGAGGAAAAAGGTTTTAGTTCATGCTTTTCTTATATGTTTGTTACATTTTCACTATAAATATAGAGGATTTTCAAAGCTCAACTCAAATATCTAATTTTTTAGATTAAATTTGCAAGAAATCTTTTATTTCACTCGGAGTGCCAATTGTTTAATCATGTATATTATTCTTAGAATCAGATTGCTATCATTAAAGCTTTTAGAATGAGTGGCATTTTGCTGAGTGATATTTGCAGAGTTTAATTATGATGAACCAAATTTAAATCCATTAAATTAGTCAATTAGCCATCAAATTTTGTTAAAATAAAAAATTAAGTATCAAAAGGTTTAACACAATAGATTTTTAAAATAAAATAAAAATAAGTATTAGTTAAAATATAACGATACTATTAAAATTGATTAAAAAAATATGAGTATCAAATATTATTAGAATATATTGTATTAAAATAATAATAAACATATATTATCGTTTTATTTTGTCCAATATACATATAATTTTAATACTTCTTAATTTTTAGTTTTTTTAGTGTAATATCGGCAGTACTAAAACGATAATTTATTAAAATAATAATAAAAATCTATTATTTTCTATGCATGAATAATATTATTGCTGAGTTAGTAAAAAAAATATTAAAAAAATTAATTTTAAAGTATATCTATTTTAAGAAATTATTTTTAAAATAACATTATTTAAGTAAAAAAAAAAGCCTCTTTTGTCTATCTCTGTCTTTTATTTGAGAAGTTGAAAGTGAAAGCCTTCTCTTAGCTCATATAAATTAATTTTTCGGCCCAATATTTTGGTCTGTGTACATCATCATAAATTTTAAGATTATAACTAACAATATGATTTTATTATTTTGAAAGTTATCAAAAGTTTAAAATAAACGCATTCTTGCTTGTACTCGTTTATTCTGAAAACAATTTTACAGTAAAAAAAGAAATAGAAGAGAGATGTATTGGATAGCCACGCGGTGAAAATGCAAATCGTGCATATTTCCTCAAGTACCACTTGATGGAAATATAGAAGAGTTTGGTTCAGAACTCAGAAGCATGTTTCCAAGATCATCATCCCTCAAACAATAAGTGAGCAGTCACAACTTTAACGTAATTCTGATTTTAGTTAAAGTTAATTTTAACGTAAAATCATTTGCTCCAAAAAACAATTTCAAAAGTAAATTTATATTGAAATTTAACGTAAAAGTTATATTATATTATATGTATATAATTCATTTGGTACTTGGCTTACTATAATCCACTTTTAAAGATAAGATAAATGGCTGAGGTTGTTTTAACACGACTAAATGTTACACAAACAGTAGTCCAATATGATTCTAAGAAAAAAAAAGTTTAGAATAAATATGAATAATTTTTTTACTTAATCACATTCACTTATCTAAAACATTAGTTTGGAAGTCCCTAGCTCCAAGTATGCTTTAGTGTTATACTTCTCCATATTCGCATTACTGTAATTCGCAGGTTGAATAAATCTCCAAATTTATTTTTTTTTCAATATGACCCAGTTTGAGATCCAATGCAAATAAAACAAGACGATAAAGGTAGTGGATAAATTAAAATAAAAAAGGTCAAGATAATTAGAATAAAAGGGATTGTGAATTTTCTAATTCTTAAAGACAATTACATCCAAATTCAGGATTTTTTTTATTTACATATAGTATTTAAAAATAATATATTTTGAAATATATGATTTAAAAAAAGACTATAATATAGAAATTCAAAAAATGTTATTAGCATTTTTCAGTGTAAATACAATGATTTTAAAAAAAATAAGTATAAAAAATAGTTATTAGTGTTTCTTAAAATAAATATTAAAAATTTAAAAATTAAAAAGATGCCATTGACATTTTTTGAAAAAAATTATAAAAAATGTTAAAGCACTTAAAAAAATACTATTGACAATTTTTAAAAATTTATCATATTACCATAATTTTACCCAAAATTCCATATTTTAGTTTTTATATATATAGCCTTAAATTCAAGTTTAAAATTGAAACTACAGTAATTTAATAATGAATTATCATTTTTAGTATATCACTAGTTTTCTACCATTTGCTTGGGATGGAGATGGAAACCCACAAACACAAGTCATATATTAATTGACAATAAGCAACTCCTAGATTGAGGTGTTCTTGTTGGCTACTGGCAAGAGCATGCGACCAAAGTCTCATCTACCACAAGAAAACCCTTTCAATGATACGAGTAATGTTGTATTGTAGGCGCCAGCAGACATACCTTTTTCAGTTTTTCTTATTGCTTGTTTAAAACCGGTAGCTATTGAGCACAAGAATCCTTGGTATTTATGTAGTCACATTCAGGAGAAAGACAGAGAAATTAAGCCCATGATTTCAACTAACTAGCAATTCTAGAACCTTTATTCTGCTTTTCTGTGAACAAACTAATGAAGCAAAGCAAAGCAAACTCTATACTCTTACAAAGACTTGAAGCAATATACTATTTCCGTATGTACAAGAAAACAAGGTGGAGAAAGAAAGCAACATGGTAATTGCTATGTGTTGTGTGTGTGTGTGTATATATATATATATATATATCATACCCAGTTGCTGGACAAGGAGAAGTCGTGGAATCTGAATGAGAGATCCCCAGCAGTGTCTCTCTCAAGTTGCATTGGCTGCGAACCCTCGCCACCTGGATCAGACCCTTCAGGGGGCAATGCCTGAATTTGGTTCTCATTTAGATGGTGTGCAAATTGAGTTTCGGGTGGTAATGGAAACACTGAGGGAGGCAAGGTCCTTAATCTTGTACTTTCTCCACTTGGAGAAGCCAATGATCGGTCCCAAAGGAAGACATGCAGGAGAATAGGAACTTTGGTGTGTCTATGCAAAGACAGTTTCTGGCTCAATGAAACAGTGTCAAAACACCTAATGGCTCCTGTTGAAGAAACCATCCATGGAAGCACTCTTTGATTTGAAAGTCTTGAAACTACCAACAACCTTGAAGTATCTGTTGCTACTTTATACAAATTGCTGAGCCCTGAACGTGATGCTGATACATTTTCTAGACCGTCATCGATAACTGATGAGATAAAAATAAAACCCTGTTGATCACATAGAAAATTATTAATTAAGTGTGTGCTTGGAAAGAGTTAGAAAAATTGCAAACGTAGAAGTAATGCATAATATGTATTTGAACGTGAAACCAAACGTGCTATAAAACAATCTGTTTAACAATATAATTAGTGCTTGCAAGATTCAAGGACGGACACCTCTTCTGTACGACTAATGGCAAAGCCAAGCTTTGTGTCATCCTTTTTAAGTTTTATCTCAATTGAGAACTCTCCTCCGATTGGAGCATACCAAAGCCTCACTGCTCTAACAACACCAATGTCTACTCCATGATAATCCTCAAAGCCATAAAGGCTTGCATTTGCAAGGTTAGATAAATCAGATAAGGACCCTGCATTTACTGTGGAAGAAGCTGTCTCTCCAGAAATCTGTCACTCAAATTCAAGAGAAACTTCAGTTACCACATGATGCCAACAAAACCATCAAACTAGGATCAAGAATAGAGAAACCAATATGTTTGGCAGCCTTCAAGCATGCCCAACATTCATAAAATTATAGCAATGCCTCTCCCTAGTGTCAGACAAGTAGTGCTTTCTAATTCTTTAAAATCCACAGCAAAATATACTATGAATTATTCTTCAAAAGTTTTATTATGGAAAAGAGGGGCCAACTAACATCAAGTGGTTGGAAAAAAAACATTAGAGATAGTAGTGAAAAAGACATCACATCGTGTTAGCTTAGCATGATGCCACAACCATATATGTCACGATTAGGGAAATGATGGTTTACCTTGGTGAGTAGGGACTCAGTTTGAATGTTCATAAAGACAATAGGAACCCCTGAAACTTGAGCAGCATTAAGCCATGCATTTGCCCTGGCTAGTGTGTCCTCCACATCATTGTAGCGAGATGCTACCCTATCTGAAACTTTGGGAAGAAATAATATGGAAAGAAAATTGCTTGAATTGGAAACTGATAGCAACTCTTGCATCCTCCTTTCCCATGGATAGGACACATATCCATCCTGTAATCGTGTCCTCGTTAGCGCATTTACCATCCTTGTGGTCCTTGAAGCTGCGTATTGCATTTATTGCTTACAGATTAGATTAAGATATATGTGTCAGAAAGCAAATGTTAAAACTCCCATTGCCGACCAAATGAAAATTAACAAAACGCAACTAGACTCCATGCTTAACTTATACGTTATTCTTTAAATAATGTTAGTGTGGTTTATCAATTAAAATTAGAGCTTTATTATAATAAAATGTTTTTGCATTTTATGTTGTCTCACATTACTGAGATAGAACTATAATTTTGACTAAGGAACTGCACTCAAGTTTTGTACGAGAAGAAAATTAGGAAAATTTAAAACATGTCCAGGCAAACTATTATCAAAGATCGATTTCGTCCTTCTAATACATGTACTGGAGTAACTACACTGTGTTTAATTAACGCTATTGACTATCGTGTTTGTATCAATATCCATCACCACTAATGTACAATTTTTTCACTTCTTTTCAAACTAACTCCTTGAGATGTGAAAACACTGGGATAGTGGAAATTAGGGAAACTAAATGTCGACATCATTCAGAAAAGGAGGTCATGAGTGTCACGCAACGTTGATGTGTAAGTCTAGCAAAAATTTGCACCTTTCAGGCGAGAAATTAATGCCTCAAAAATATCTTCTAATGGGTATCCATTCCACCTAACGGATATAAGGCTTCGATCAAATAATGCAAATTGATCAGTTAACCCAGAAGAGAAAGAATTGAATTTTCAGTCTAATAAAAGTAGGAAGAGGTTCCACTCCCGTTTGTGCGAGGTTGTAAATAGTAAGTACTCATAACTATCTACCCCACAAAAAAAAATGAAACTGGGTCGTTCAGGGGAAATGAGAGAAGATGAAAAGACTCAAGCCACCAATTTTCACTTCTTGTTTCCTTATTTGTTTCTCTAAATATATAACAGTTTACCCAAGTAAATCTTACGAACAAATAATAATAATAACAATAAGACAGTACATGAAAGAATCACTCATCCAATTAAACCTGGCAACGAACACCTAACTTAACTTCTCATTTATAAAATATATATCGTTTATAGATTCAGTTTAGTTAATTTTACAGAACAATATGTCGAAGGAATTGGAACCCGAGAGTGAGGGGTAACGGACAATAGGAACGTTAACGTGAACTTAATCACTCAACAATTCAACGATGTCGCAAACGACAAAGACAAAGAGAAACAAAACACAAACAAAAGAAAAACTAAAAAACACGACACAAAAGTAAAGTAAAAAAAAGTGAAAGAGCAAGAGAAAGATTACGGACCCTGTAGTTGGAAGCACTCAGCTTCGGTTCGATCCAAGAAGCCAACGACGTAGTTGGGATCAGCGATGGAGCGGAGAACGTAGTTCTTCTTCACGGAGGACTCGTTGGGCACAATACAAGCCTGCAACTCGGCGAACTCGTGGGGTCCACGGCGAACCCGAACAACGATGGAAGTGTCTTTCTTCTTGTAAGAGTCTTGCAGGATTTTGTTAACGCCGGTTCTACCGTTTTTGAACGGCGATTTGAAGCGTATGAGGGAATTGGCGGAGCCTCCGATTCGAAGCTCTTCGACGACGTCACCGGTTTGAAGCATGTCACTGGTCCATTCATCGGCTTTGGAACTTCCTTTGAGGCACTCTATGGATAACACTTTTGGGTCTCTCGTTGGTGAGTCTGAACTGCTCTGAGAGGCTCGGTCCATGGTCATGTTGTGATTCTCTGAATGTGGATTTGGTGAATATATATGATCACTTTTGGTTGAAAATTGAAAAGGATTTGAGTTTTGGTTCCGTTGTGGTGGTACTAAGGTACAACTTCATGGAAACGAGAAAAATACACAAATGTTGAATAACGAAGGAAATGTTTAAGGGAGCAATGTCAGAGCTTAATGGATTCTCTCTGTAAGATATTGCAGAAAGTAGTTATGATTGGTTAAGATATACATTATATTATTTCATTTGAATATAATAAAAAAATAAGTTAATATAATAAAATATTTTATATAAAAAAAAATTTAGAAGATATATGATATAAAATTAATTAATATTGATTTATTGTATTAATTTCTAGTTTAATATATTATTTAAAATAAAATATATATTTAATTATCACTAATTCAACTACATTTAAATTAAAAATCATAAATGACTACTTTTGAGTAGTTTAATGACGTTAGATTTTAAAATCCTTGCTTTTAAGGATAGAAATGGAGTGAATCTATTACAAGTGATCCCCGTAACAAAGTGAAAGAGTCCCCACGAAACCACATTTGAAAAGGACGTGCATTGAAAAAATTTAAGTCTGCATCGTTGGTTTGTAAATTGGACCATGAAAGAGCCTGCGTGCATACTTTCCCTGTTTTTAAAATAAAATATTTGATTGTGTGAACTGACTCAAATGCCCTGCAAATTAATCGCAAAATGTTTTTCTTTTCTTTACTTTAAAAACAACTTGATATATTATTAAGAATGTCTTTTTCAAGTAAATTTACCAAATCAATCCCATTAACTTATGGGTTTTGCAAATTAATTGACATAAAACTTGACCTAATCCAATTTCATACCTACCTATGTATAACTAAAATTATGTTAGCGTAGAATTTATAATTTATTAGCATTGAAATATACTTATGATTTATATTACAAATGAGAATTGAGACATTCGATAAAGTTGTTTTTTTCATAATAAGCCATATGTGTTTTGAAGGGGATACCCTCACTGCCAAAAACCAATTATGGGCAGATTGTACTTGGATTCAAGTTTTTAACATTTTAAACTTTGTTGCAATAGTGTGGTACTCATTAACACGTGTGAATTGTGAATACTTTTAAAAATAGTTTAATCAATGAAAATATAAACCACAGTATAAAGTATATGTTTAAAATTTTCGTCAAAAATATTATAAAATTAGTTTAATTCACGAATGATTGTTTCAATTAGGGTTTTAATGATTCGTAAATATTATGCCATATTTAAAATTAACATATATAATGAAATGAGAGAAATGCACATAAGTAACATATATAAAGGTTTTTTTCATTTCAACAAAGAAAAATTATTTTACAACTGCAGATGTGGATTGAGGGAAATGGTTCATGGACTTTGGCGGTAGAGATAGTAAGCTTGAATTTATCAGAAAAAAAAAAGTTTTAATAATATCGAATATTCAAGTTACTAAAATATATTTACGAATAATTAAATAAAACGTAGACATACTTTTGCTTAATATATTCAATTTGTCAAAAAAAAATTGAGACATTGAAAAAGAATAGGAAAACCACAATAAGAACACTCGAATTATGTTTAATTTTGGTCATTTAAATATTTAAAGCTAACTAAGTTTTTAATTTAAAAATTTAACCGATTTGGTTTACATTTTTTTTTTCTATTTAACACTCATCAATTCTCATTCTAAAATTTAAGTTTTAGTAGGTATTCCCAGAAAAATGAAGATTTAAAATAAAATAAATTAACAAAAGACTCAAATTATATACTTTTAAATATAAAGACATAAGTAATTTAAAAATAAAAATATATATATATCACACATTCAAACTAAACAAATCACGAACGTAATTATGCCCAAAAAAAATTAAAAATACTTATAAAATAACACTTAAAATTTTGTCCTCTTTCGAATATTTCAACCTTAGAAAGTTCAGATCGGCGTAGTTATGAACGAACAATCCACCTTTTTAAAACTTGACTCGGACTATTCACATTGGTAAGATTGGACCCATCTAAGCAATTTTTACAATAACACTGTTGTTATTTATTCCATATCGTTTTTAAATATTTTTAACTACTTAATCAGTATTTATCATTGACTTAACCAACATTCTAGATTTAAAATGGCAATATGTTTTCATAAATATAGTTAAGGATCTATTTGAAACAATATGATTCGGCAATTAAGTGAAGATGCAGGTTCACATGAGCGTAGGATTTATGGAAGATTTTGTGAGAGTGTTTGACCAAAACAAAGGCGGATTGGTAGATGTGACATTTCAATGTGAAGCAAGTGATGGGGCCACATTTATTAAATTAAATAAGAATTATTGGTATTCAGATTCACTTCATTTTAAAATCCAATTATATTTTCAAAACATCAATTGCAGATCCTAAGGGTGTTTATGGGTTGCGTTGAAAATCAAGCCTATTTTTGAAAAGTTTAATTTAGCCTAACTTTTTTTTTTTATCTCTACTCATAATTTATTAAAATTATTTATTTATTCTAAAACATAATCTAATACTAATAATTTAATATTTATATAAAATAAATAGTTAAAGAATTATAAAGAAAAATAAACTTCAATAACATCTTATAAATTATAAAATCTAAAATCTAAAAATTTATTTTACATTTAAAACAACACAAAATTCAAAAATTGAAATATTAAATCTTTTATCAATATTTAATTCTTTATTTCAAACAAAGAAAGAATTAAAACGATACAAAGTTAATAGAAAAAAAAAGACTTATATAAAACAATAATTGGGTCTATTAGATTAAGTTGTGTTTTAACTATACAAATCTGTATTTCATTAAATTTTAATAATTTTTGTCTGAATTACCTTGTTTACTCAAACTAATTCATTAATTTTTAATTAAGTTAAATTAATTTAGTTCATTTGGTTAACAAAACTTGTAAATATTTTGACATATATATATATACAATGATAATATAGTCTATTATTACTGCCACCCATCATCATCAAACAAAACTATCATGCACTCTCGCCTAGTTAATTTCATTGGAGCACGAAATCACCCATCTAAAAGATGAGGTCATAAATGTATGCAGTCACCAACATTTATGAAAAATATGGTAGAGTGAGGTTAGAAAGGAAGGAGGATGACGATTGACAACAGAAGAATCAAGACAAGACTCATAAAGGGTTTCCAACCAAGCTTCCTTTGCTTTTGTTAAAAAAAAAAAAACTAGGCCCAACCCATTACGGTACTTGGTTCATAATCCAAAGTCTAAACCTCTTCGCTTTTTGACAAGAAAGAAAGAAAAGCAGCAGCATCAATAATCAATAATAATTTCATAAAACAAACATAATAAATACATTTAATCTAATAAAAAAATAATTTATTTTTAAAAGAATATTAAAAATTTTAAAGCCAAAAGTTCTTTAACTTTTTTTCCGCGTAAATAAAGCATATGAAAGCGAGTATAACATGTTGTGTGTTTTTGTTGTTTCTTGCTCACAGTTTTAGATCGTGTCTTTCTCTTTTTTAGTTGCATCCTCTCTTCACCTTTTACACGAGATTAATCAACGAGAGGTTTCTGGCTGATTTATATTTTTAATATTCTTTTAAAAATAATTTTTTAAAATAATATTTTTTTAAACATATTTTTTATCTAATTCTTCTTTGACACATTGATACGTTTCGTTAAGACAAAATTTATTTTTTAAATTAAGTTTTATCTTTAACAAAGAAAAAATTATGTTATTGGCCTGATTTGATCATGTGTCATCATTAGATAAATTTTGTTTACTATATAGACAAAACTTATGGAATTTTGTCACATGTTGTGTCGGCTTAATTTCTAAAATTTAATTATTTGCAACTTTTAAAGTGCTCTATATGTGATAAATGCAGTCAATATCTTGTCATAACTATGATTTATACAATTTTGTATAGAGAAAAGATAGAATATAAGATTTTTCACTTTTTTACTTTTCCATTAAAAATTGGAGCTCACACTAGAAATGAACATTATAAAGTAATTAATACCACATGTTATCATCTTTGCACATTACACAACCTACTTCTTTTTTTCTCTCTTATTACTATTACTATTATTTATTATTTCATTATTACTCATCTCATAACTTGTATAATTATATTTAATTTTTGACTCTTTTAATTTGAAAGCACCTTGAACAAAACAATGGATGCATTTGGAAAATGGGTAAAAAATTATTTTTGAACAAATAAATTATTTTAATAATATTAAATGTGGAAACAATTATTAGTAATTATTGTCATACAGTCATATAAATTTTGTCCATACAGCATGTTGAAATTTATCAAACGATGACATGTGGCACAATCATATAAGTTTCATCCATGCAATAGATAAAACTTACAAATACCCATACATGAAATATGTTTTAAAAAATATATTATTTTAGGAATATTTTTTTAATATTAAAAAATAAATCAGTTGAAGTTTCTGCATGAACAATAAATATTTAGTTAGAATCTCAACCTATGTCAGAGTGACTTAACCTTGGTTGGTAAGTATCTTTTGCAATAACTATAGTTTACAATTGGTACATTTTTATTTTTATTTTGTATTTTCAATCTACAATTGGTAAGAAAATTATAAGAAATTATAGTTTGAACAAATTTTGTGGCTTATTTTCTTTTTTAATATATCTTAAAAATAAATTTTTAAAATAATATTTTTTAAAACATATTTTATGGTTGAAATTTTTTTTCGTTACATCAACAACTATTCTGCCTACTGTATGAACAATTTTTTAAACTTAAGTTTCATCTTCAATAAAGACAAAAGTACATGATTGTATCACACGTCATCGTCTCTAATGCATTGATGAAATTAACAAGATTATGCCACGTGTCATACCGACCCAATTTATTAATAATTGATACCATAAGATAATTACTTTCATACTTAATATTATTAAAGTAACTTACTTGTTCAAAAACAATTAATTCTTTTTATCATTTTTCAAATGCACCCATTTTGTTTTGTTTAATATACTTTCAAGTTCAAATGAGTCAAAAATTAAATTCAACTATACGAGTTACGAGAGTGTTAATAATGAATGATGTTGGTAGTAGAAATAAATGAAAAAAATAAGTGAGTTATGTTGTGTATACTATGAAAAGGTCAAAACATGTGGTATTAACCACTATAATTTTCACTTCTAGTGTGGGCTCTACTTCTCCATG